TCTGATTTATCTATTTTATGGTTTAAATGCATGTGTTGCTACCTTATCTAACTACTGTTTGATTTGGAATTTGAGACATGATTGTATTTCCTAATGCTTGTTTATTTGTTTATGTGATTATGTTTGATTTGGTAATGGAGACTAAAGGAAAATAGGAAAGTGGTGTGATTAAATAAACAGATGGAACGACTGCCTTATTAGATATCTTAGGAGATGGTGGAAAGACCGAATACATAGAAAACCCTACCGTGAACGTTGTCTCATATCGGATGCGATATGGAGACTTGGTAATTTAACGCTCATACTGGATGGAGTATGGGGATGAGTCGCTTTACCCTCATACCGGACGGGGTATTGAGGTTTAATGTTGCGCTCATACCAGATGGGGTATGGAGACAGTCCTGTAATTGAGATTATTAAAGGAAATGGTTCACGTGTAGCGGGGACATTCTTATAAACCCCAATGGATATTAATAGGCTGGTGAAAAGAGGAACAGTTATGATTTAGTCAATTATTAATGGTTATGGATTTATGATATATTTTATATTACTAATTGATTATGAAGTTATGATCTGTATGGTATTATTGTCTCTATATGTTGTTTTCATAAATTCTACTATGTTAATTAAACGGTAAATGATTTTATGATTGATAAATTAAATTGCTAAATTTAGTACTCCATTAGTTGTTTTCGGATACTAACCTTTGTTTCTTTGCTGGTGATATAGTGTGATATCCTTACTGAGTTAGTACAACTCATCATTTATTTAACCATTTCAGATTAAGAGGACCAGGTTCTAGAGGCCGATCTGCAAGAAGATTGTAAGTAGATGCTAGATATTTTTTATTTTCCATTTGTTTTCTTATTTCTCACGTTTCTTTCAAATAATAAATTTTGTAATGATGTTCAGTACTTTAAGTTATTGTTTAAGGAATGTAAACTTTAATCATTATTTCGCTTACGCACTTAAGTTATTATATATTTTATTTTGAATTTTCGGGGTCGTTACGAATATAATTTATTTATTTATTTTTAAAAATCCAAATATCAACTATTACACCCAAACACCTTTGCCTACATGAATGCTCCTGGTCCCAATGAATCAAACCATTTGTGCTCTTTAGGCAAGGATGGCAGGTTTTATAAGCCTTACGATCATTAAATAACCATCATATCCCCCTCATCACCACCTCAATGGCTAGAGAGTTTGGCCCGAGTTTAATCCATATGAGCTCAAATTAGATGTATGATTGTGATAGTGATGAGATAATTCACCATACAATTCGTTATATATAGAAATACATTGTGAATCACGCATCTCTATATTTGAAGGATGCGTGTGTCATATGGGGGGAGGCATGAGGGGTGGAAGAGTGAAAATAATGGACTAATGTGTGAGGATTTAGGATAATTATTATTATTATTTTTTACTTTGACAATACAAATTAAAATAATTATTACATATCATGTGACATTCAACTAATATTTGAACAAATAAAAAAGTATCGTATGTTAATAAATTTAACACATTATATTTTAAGTTACTAACAGTAATGTTTTTAAATATTATTTTTTTCAAAAGTATAGAGATTAATTTGATCGAAAATTAAGATCGAAATTAATTTAAAAAATAAATTGTTTAATAACTAAAACATTAATTTATATACCTCATTTTTTTTCTTTTTAATTTCTCTTTTACCTATTCTACTTTTTTTTTATATTTAAAACTTATTTCAATTGCATAACATATGTAAAAATTTTAGATAAATTTAATAAAAAAATAAAACACTATGCGTGGTTTGATCTTTTTTGTTTACCATACTTTATATATTATTGAAATGTTAGATAAACAAATAATCAGTAGAAGAATAGAGTTTATTTATCGTTAACTTTTCAATATTTAAGGTAATAAAAATTGAGAAGGAAACATGAGAAAACAAACTTGGAGAAATTTAGGAAGAACACGCATTATTTTTGTTGGAAGATGATAATATTTAAAAGATTTGATCATAGATGACAAGTAATTAGATATTGAGTACTTTTTATTAATTTAGTTTTGCTCCTATTAAGTGTTATGACACTCTTAATAAATAAAAAATGTCACTCAGTAATATATAGTTTTCGATTTTAAATGGACTATGATCAATGACATTTAAAAGGAAATTACAAAAGAAAGGGCCGTTAAAAGGAGTGACCTTTAAAAATCTCCTTATGAAATACTCAAAGGGGTACAAATATATGTCTTTTAATAACTAAGATGGCTCTAATAAACTATTATTTATCATTTTATTTTGACAAATTTTAATCAAGTATGAATAAAGTCTAGTAAAATAGATATGAAGATCTCAAACTTTCAAAAAACAAAAATGCTAATGTAAAAGTACAATGTATCTTAGTTGTTGACAAAATTAAAATTAAAATTAAAAAAATTAATAATAATAATAATAATAACTTTTTATGTTAGTAACGTGTTATTTAATATTTTCTAAAAATTAATTCGTTTTCAATAATTTTATAGTTATTATAAATTATTTAAAATTATTTTAAAAATTAAATAAAAATCTAAAATATGTACTTACATAAAATAAAATAAGTAAAGTAATTAAATTAAAATAATTAATTTTAATTTTTATAACAATCATAAAGAACTACTGTTTAAGTACTATTTAAATAATTATTTTTATTATTATATAAGTTTCATTCTTCTTTATAACGTTTAACTAAGTACAATATTACCTTTTATATTACCGATAAAATTTGTTAAATATTATATTTTGTTTAAGCATTTTTTTTAAAAAAATACAATTTACCTTTGTGTTTTTCCTTCTCTGGGTCTCGCTTCAGTGCCGGAGAAAATGGCAACAACGAAGTTGCTCATGTCTTTTGGTCATCGCTCTGGTCTTACCAAATTATTTTCTTCTTCATCGTCGTCCTGTCACAGATGTGTCTTTATTTTGCTCTAATTCAAATGCAGATCAACATGAATCGCCCAGGAAACCACTTCCCCATGTAAATAATCTCCGATCCTATAAAACCCAAAGAGCAGACCCCTAATGAAACATTCTTTCCCCTCCTCATTCTCAACAATAACGGCAACCGCAATCACTGCCGCCCCAGCTGCCCATCAGTCCTCCGACTCAGTCAATCAACAGACTAGGTCGAGTTGGACCGTTGAGGACATTTTTTTTTTTATGTAAAGACGTCCCTTCCGTATCCCAATATCGCGTCCTGTTCGTCTTGGCCCGCTCCTTGAGGACCGGATCTCAGTCTCCTGTTGGGAGAGGGGCTGAAGGGGGAGAATGCGACGGAGGTCAGGATATGGAGATGCTGAGAGAGAGGGTCGAAATCGCAAATCGTGCCAGGAGAGCTTTTAGATCTTTAGCCGAGGAGGACAAGGTTGCGCTGGCTTTAACTACGTTTATTTTAGCTGGAGAAGAAGCAGGAGAAGAGGTCGGCTTTTGATTTGCTGGAAGCAATTAGGGTAGTCAAGGTCAGCGTTAAACATGTCTTCTTCTTCTTCTTCTTGACCTTCGTCTTTGTATTCCTCGTCAATCATTGCGTTTTTTGGCTGAATAAATGGGATATTCTGGTTAATGGCATTCTTTTTCTCACATATGGCTTTGTCTGGATATGATGATGATTTTGGAGTTTGCTGCGTATTAATGAATTTCTGCCACCGAGAATCACTTGGGACTGTTTGGAACAAATGATGGTGAGGCTATTTGAAATGGCAGGGTGAAGATTTGAGTCATTATGGGGAAGCCCAAGGAGGTCCAAACAAAGATTCAAAAGCAAATGCATAGTAAGAAAGCCCAATTTATTATGAAATAATGCTTAGCTAATATATATATATATATGTTACGATACATATATTACTAAACAAATTCAATATTGCAATTGCTCTTTTTTTTTTTTGAGAAAAAAATGCTATGTTATACTTTTTAAAATTTATTATTATTATTTCAATTAAAAAAATTTAATCATCATTGAGACAAAATTTAAGTTGATTATCGTAACCCAATTAATACGTTAATAAAAATAAGTTATAATTTCTAATGAATTAAATATTATGAATTTATTGTCACAAATACGTAAATACCTATTAAACGATAACTTGTGTATTTTTTAATGAATTTTAATTTATAACTTTCAAAAAGAATGCGATAATTTTTAATTACTAAATTACTGTTTTAGTTGTTATTATGATTATTGAATCAAATGTGGTACTATAAAATTATGATGATGAGTTATCACTAATTTGCCAATAGAACATTATAATATAATTTTATTAAAATATTACTTTTTTTTTTTATAGTAAATAAGTATTAGACATTTCAAATATTCCATTCAACCAACTAAATGCACTGTTGGTATATATATATACACTCTGTGATGCAAGTCAAGAATGAATCCCATCTCCTTCAAAAACTTTGCACATCATACTCCTCGTGGTTAGAGCCTGAAATATATCAAGAACAACAAGCTTGGGCCCAATACTTCTTCGTGCAACTGCCATCATGTGAAATGATTATTGTGAAAACTGAAATAAAAAATGCTTAACAATCTTACCCTAAATAATATATTCATTATAATTTCAAACCAAATTGTATATTATAGTTAATATGTATATTGATATCACTTAACTAATAAAATATATATATATATATATATTTCAACTTTATTTAAAAAATAAAATGCTTCCGTGCCAGCTAATTAGCCTATATAATATACTTCAAATCATAACTTAGGCTAATTGGTATAATAATGAACCAATAAATCTTGTACATCTTATTGTAGACCATAAATAGTCCTATATAACTGTTTTTTTTTTTGGGTGATAATATGCAAGCAATTCGATCCCGCCAAAAATGGGGTGGTGGAAAATCCGACACTAATATTATGTATGGATAAATATATATAAATTGTGATATTTTATATTTATTTTATATATAATTTATTTTTAAAATTATTAAACAAAACCCAACCGCTGCATAACTCAACGCCTTGCCATTATCTTCTATTCTCTGTTAACCCTAATAACAGTCAGAATCTTCTTCCAAAAAATAAAAATAAAAACTTTCGCTTGACACTCTCAACTCTCAACTCTCGGCCTATCTCATTCTCCTGGAAATCTCCGCATCCCTATCTCCTCTTATCCCATTCCCAAAGAAAAAAAAAAAAAGAAAAAGGAAAAACCCTTACACTGGATACCCTCAACCGCTTAAAAGTGCGGCCATCGCTTCTTCTTCCATTGCTTGCTTATCCCCGAGGTTGTGGAGTAGCTGTTCTGCTGTGTGTCGCCAATCCATCTTTATTCAACTCTGCCTCGCTTGTTTGTGACGACCGACGTGATCCATCTCAACTTCGTTAACTTCCTTTTGATCTCTCTCAATTTGGGTAATTTCTCCGAAACTCTAAATTTGGTACTTTTGTGCACCTAACTATATCTTTTGAGGGAACCATCTATTGTTTGCCGAAATTTTGGATAATTTCTGCCCCTTTTTTACTTCATTTGATGTCTATGTAGGAAAGAAATGATAAATGTTGGTGTATTAATTTTTCTCTGTTGCTTGCGGATATCTTAAGTTGCATACTTCCTTTGATAGGTAGTTTGAGAATTATTTTAAAAAATATTGGATTTGTTTGTAATGTGGATAGTCGTTTTGTTTTTGGTAGGTTTATCGGGTTACATCTTCATTTGAGGTTTGTTTAGTTGTTTTTAGCATCTCAACGACTGTTTGTTAAACTATGCATTAATGTGAGTTTGTTTTTGTTTACTAATGGTCTTCTTCATATAATTTCAGGGAGGACTTGATTGTGTTAACCTTACTAATGCTTAAAGTCTGTAGAAGTTTTAACACTTTGGATTTATTGAACTATGGACCTTTTCTGTGTTTAAATTAAGCATGTTAGATGGACATATAAAATAATTGGATGGATGTTTTGTCGGATTTGTATTAAATTGGTCTTTTGGATGTTGTTGTTAGGTTTGAGTTGAAAAATTAGGTGTTAAATTTTGATCAAATTTAACAAACGTGGAGAACAAAAGAGAAAATTCCTCTGTATTATCTTACAATTCTCATCTCCGTACAGGGAAATAGATAGGGATGGGGAGAATATGCCTGCCAGGGACTTGGGGTTAGGAAGAGGGGTTGGTCATTGTCGTATATGGATGTATATGACAGGTACTTTCTCCTCAGCTTGTTACAAAGATCAAGAGCATTTGCAATGCAACTAGTCTCTTGACTGGGTTTATATTTATATGATCCTGCAAATTAAGACATATTAAACTTTATTAATTTTCCTTTCTAGCTTCCTCTCATTAAAACTTGTATGATTCTGTATGCTTGGTGGTTGCCGGTTAATCTCTTATTTAACTGTTATGCATCTTAATAACATATGTTTACTCCAAGATGTATGAATCTATTTGTTGATACTTGTGCATATGAGTAAATTAACACATTGTTTTTAATATCTGAAGTATTTACTTTGATATTAGGGTTCGTATTTAATGCAGAATATATTTACTCTCTAATCTGATTGTTGCATAAATGAAGGTTGTGCAGATTGCTAAATGTACGTTGAATCTTTTGGTTTGTTTGGGGTTTTCATTTTGTCATATAAGGTGTAGTTTTATTGAATTGGTTTGACTAATATATGCTTTGCCTCTTTTTTGAATGCTGGAAATTCAGTCATTAAAATGCCATGTCGTAATGACTGGCATAAATGGAGGCTTCAACAATTGGAGAAACTGTTTATTATCTTTAGGATTCCAAGACCTGGGTTTTTTATTTTAGTCTATTTAAGTATTTCCCTCTTGCTGGGGGTTGTAATATTTAATTTTTTAGAAAATTTTGTTTCATTTGATTTTTTACGAGCTTGCTGCCCACTGGGTTTAATATTAAAGGAATAAGGTCCAAATTGGATGTATTCCATATCCACGCATTAGCAAGTTATCCCTTTATTAAATAAGTCTATGAAGTAGGATAGTTACCTAAACAGTCTAGTCTTATATCGAATGTGTTTATTTGTATTAAGGTTGGTGTCAAACAAATGTCTAATTTCACCTATATTTGGCTTTAATGGCAATTCCATATTTTTCCGGATTGATATGGTCTCATGTTATTTCAAGGAGAACCATGAAAATGATAATTTTCTTTATCTTTTAACACTAAGTAGGGTTGAAAAAATTTAGCATGAAAAATTACATGACTTAGATATGTGCTTTTGCAGATATGAGTTTAGATAATTTGGTTCAGATGATAACTAAGGCTATGTTGAAATAAATCCAGAATTTGTTTAGAACTCATTAGCAAATCCATATTCTTTTTAACTAAAAGATGATGAAGGTCCTTCATAAAATTATAAAAATTGTGCTCATATTGAACTCAATATGGAATTGGAACGATTAATTATAATTTTCATCAAATAAGATTGAATTGGGAATGTGTTGTTCAAAATTTTCACATGAAATTCTACATGAGTTTGGATTTTATCCTAGTAGAATTACATTTCTCCTTATTAAAACAAATGTGAATTTTTTGATGAATTCTATATAATTTTTGCGTATGTTGGAGAAATATAAGTCGAAACTTGTTTGAACATAATAAAAATTGTGTCCAGACAGGTTTAACCTTGCTCTACCTATTAGGACAGGTTAAAATCACTAGATGACATAAACAAGTTTGGTAGTTAAATGGAGCAGATAACGCTTAGCAATTCGTGTAAACTCATTCACAACCTTCTATTATTATACAATGTCTATGATATATATGATGATATTAATATTTTATTATTTTCGTTTATGTTTATGTTATATATGAGTTATTTGTACTTTGAACTATATATGATTTTTTAAAAAAATATTTGATGGTTTAATCCTGATAGTTATACCAGTATTTAGCTTCGTGTGATCAAATAAATGAATGTGTTAATATGTATCAATTATGTTTTAGTTGATTTACCCAAGATAACTTGCTTAGATGTTATGCTTGGACTATATTTGGTCAAATGAAATTTATAACTTCTTAGGAAGGATAAAATTTTTTATGAAGTGTTTGATAGTTGATGAAGGGCTTATGAGCTGGAAGCCTTTGATACCGGCGCTTTAAAAAGCTAATAGGAGCTTGGTTTTATTTAGAGAGCTTAATCTCTTAAAAATAAATTGTGTTGGCCTAGTAAAAGTCTAAGATAACCTTCTTCTGTTGCCTAATAGTATAAGTATTTGTATTTTCACAATTTTTCCTAGATTTTTGTTATCATTTGCTATTATCTTTATAATATATAATTTTCATTTTTTTGCTCATGTCAATAGAACTAATACGTAAAAGGTATTTTTTGGCCGAAGTTGTAGCTACAGTATAAGTTTATGTTACTTAAACAGTTCAACACTTATTTATAAATAAAGTTATACATTGAATAAGCAGTAGAAGTGGTTATTAGCTTTACAACTTATAAGATCTTACATTTTAAGCTAAGCCATTCACCCTCTTCAAAAATGTGCTTAATTGTTAATTTAAGCTTGAGCTTGTTAATTTTGTATTCTCTTGCAGATAAATGGGCTAAACATGTTTTACTGGGTCAACTCATTTATTAATAGACTGAGCTTGAGTTGTATGACATGTTTCTTAAATGAAAATGTTCAAGAATCATGGCGTGATTGTTAGACTAATTTTTTTGGTATTGGGGTCTAGACTTTAATATTTTCTGTTGATGTAACTCATTTAAACACAAATTATACGAAGTAGAAAGCGCACACCAAGGATTGCAAGATTTAATTAGATATTAACGATCTATTGTTGTCTCAAAATAGTTGTTGAAACTCCTCCTTAATTTGGGGTAATATGTATGGAAACTTTGTTATTATTGTTGTGGAGTTGCTTTCTGATGATAATGAGAGTTGCTAAGAGCATTAAGCATTAGCTGACCGCTTTTCTCATTTTATTATTCAGGACGTGCTTGGAACTAATGAGGCACTCTACATCTTCTATCGTAATTTAAATTTATCTTTGAGGCGTACAGCCATCGTATCTTGATATTTGGTCGTAAGGATGTTTCACATTTGGAGAGCAGCAATATCCTCCAGGGCCAGATGTCTTGTTTTGGAATCCAAAAAGGCCTTAACACTTGTAGAGAATAGCAATGTCCCGAAATCCTATCTTGATGAGCGTTTGGCTGCCTTTTCATCATTAGCTGTCCGGAGAATCGGTGTCCAGAATTCAACAAAGAGGGTATAGTTACTTATTATTTTCTAAATTTTTCTTTGGCCAATATTTTCCTTCTAGTACTTTTTGTTGGGAGATGTTTTAACTTGTTGGTACTAGATCATACGTATTGCTTGGAGGTAGGGCTGTTATTACTTTTAGTTATCTCTGTTATTGCCTTTCTGCACATTTTCATTTTCCAAAAGGTGAAATATCCACTGTCGAATATTGATGCATCTAGTTCTGGATCCATGTTTTCGTTTTACTCTTGAATTGGTTCTAGGGAAAATAAAGTGTGATAATGAGAGCGTTTCTTGTGGATTTAGCTTCTGCTTCATGGTTGCTTATGGTTAGATACTTGAATGAAAAAGTAGCAATTGCTCTATCTAGGGTCTGGGCCAGCAGATTTACTCTAGTTCCTCCCCATAGTTTTCCATTTTTAATCTTTCCTATTTTTAATCTTTTGCTTCTATCTCAGCTTTAACTATTCTGCCACTAATTAATATATTATCCTACAAACAAAGATTCTGACTTTCAAATGTTTTTCAAGTTAGGCATACACACTAATTAAATGGAACTGGAAAGTAGTTAGCTCAAAGACTTACAATATTTGTGCCAATTTGTTAGTATGTTTTGCGTAGACTTTATGGAATAACAGGTTATCCTTTTGTTACGACAGAAGAATAGTTGATAACTATGAAGACCATATGAAGACTATACTTCTATATTTCTTTCAGCCCCAAGTTATGGTTAATAAGATTTACCATGATATGATCACACGATTAGCCTTGGGTGTAGTTGAGTTCGGTTTGACATAAACGTGTCAAAATAGTTATTGGGTTAAGTTAACTCTAAGCAGATGTGATTACACGACTTGATTAGACATGGGTTTAGTGAGTTTTGATTTGACATAAATGGGTTAGAGTATGAATTATATAAATTCTAAACAAGTTAAACATGCTCATCATTTTTAACATTGGTCACCTCCTCAGCTGCCCGGTGGTGTATGATTTATAACTTACTAGGTATTGTTTGGGTCTCTTTGGATTCGGAGATGACAGAAGTTTGGGCATGGGGTGGGATTCACTCCACAAAGAATATTGTAAAGATTATTCCTTTGACTGTTTTTTGGTTCATTTGAAAAGAAAGAAATTATAGAGCTTTTGAGGGTGTAGAAGTTGATAGACACAAACTTAGAGATATGTGGTTTAAGTTTTTTGGGTCTTGTATATTGGGGCATGACATCACTAGGGATGAAGATTTTAGGGATGTCATTGATATCCTTACGTCTTTGTAAATTCCTTTGTATACGGGCGGTACCCTCTTTGATGCTATTCTGATTTTATTCTAACTTTTTCTTAAAAAAAAAAAAAAACCGTTGGTCAAATGGCTCAATCCTATGAGACAATGCAAATGAGTTGGATGACTCCAAATTAAGATTGATAAAATTTGATACAGTATGATTAAGTGACTTGTTCAAGCACTGGTTTAAGTGATTTTCATTTACAATATAGACACTTTGTAGATGTATTTGGGTCATAAATCTAACAGGTTAAAACTTGGTCAACCAATTTAAGTAGGTTAAAAAAACAAAGAGTAGATAGTAATTTGTCTAAACTCATTTGTTAGTAATATTCTATTATTACTATAATGTGTAAATTATCAAATTAGTTTGCGAAGTTTGATATTTGTTATAATTTGATCCCTAATATTTTTAATTAGAATTTAGTTCCTGATGTTTTTCATTTGTTTCAAATGTGCAGTTCCCTTTCATTTCCTAATGGAAAAAGTGTAACATGGTTAATGTCATATTTGGACACTTCAAGAAATAGCTCAAGAAAACGATTATCACTAATTAATTAAATTAATAAATTAGTCAATATTGTCTAATAATATTTAATAATGTTTTTGTTAAGTTATTAATTTTGTTAATTAGTTAAATTTATTTTTTGAGTTGTTTTCTAGAGCATCCAAATATGACTTAACCATTGTTGCTTTTTCACTTAGAAAATGGAAGGAGGTTGGGTATTTGAAATGACAAAAAAGTATTAGGGACTAAACTGTAACAAGTGCCAAATTTCAGGGATTAATATAGGAATTTGCCCTGTTATCATTGATGCTGATAAGATGACGAAGTAGATAATGATTTAAAATTTATTATTACTGTTATTATTATTTATACTATTATATTTATGTTTATGGTGCTTGGGTATTTTTTCAAAAAATTATGTTTGTTGTTTGTGCTTTGTGGATATTTGGATGGTTGAATCATGATGATTATACTGCTGCTAGTTATTCCTTGAATTTCAGATTTATGTTCGTGAAAGAGAGGTTTGAGAATGATGAGATGTTTACTAAATGGATTGTTGAGTTTATGGGTGTAACCGTAATTTTTGTGGAGATAACCTTTTAAGCACAATATATAGAAATTAGTAGACAGTAGTCTTATTCTTATTCTAAGGTGTGGCGGATATTAAAATTTTGTTTTGCTTGAATGATATAATCTCATAGTTGTTGTTCAACTCTCTTTTCAATTTGAAAGTACTAGTATGTATGTAACAGCTACTATTGTTGGTGAATTACTTTCTGATAATGATGACAGCTCCCAGCAGCGCTGGAATCAGGTTCCATAAGACTAGCAACTGCTGATGCCAATCAGATGACTAAGGTGAGGAAATTAGTTCTCAATTAGTTCCATATTTCCTCTTTTGATGGATATATGTTGACTTCTGTCCTCTTTTCCTTCTGCAGAATTTGCTTGGAGCTAATGGTTAGTGACTGTTCCCTGGTTAGTATATTATATTCATATTAATCCATGAACATTCAGCCAGCATAAATTGGAGCAAAAAGGGTTCAATTTGCTATTCATTAGAGTCGATGTTATTTCATTCCTACTTAATCTTCTAGGCTTTAGTATATGCTCAATTTAGTGGACTGATAGTCACCTGATATCTGTGTCTCGTTGTGTATCTTTTAGTTAATGTTTTGATGACTGGTTATTTGGTTACTGTTGAGTGTCTGCTTAGAATTCATCTGTAATGGAAAAACTGTCTTTGATCTTTGGTGGTTAGTTAAAAAGTGTTGCTCTTGATCAGCATGTTACCTTTTCATAAAGTTATTGACTATTCAAGTGGAGAATCCTAGCGATGTTGCCTATATTATCTCCTTTAAGGTCATGTTCACCAATCTGGGTAGGGTAAGAGGAGGGCAATTTATTTAAAAAAAAAAAAAAAGAGAAGGATAGCGATGACTAGTATAAGAGTTTAATTTGTGTTTAAAATAATTGTCTAAGAGGATTGATTGGGTAGTTTAAATGTCTATATTATAGTTTTCACAATATATCTTAAAATATTATTAACTATTATGAAAAGTGAAATATAATTACTTCAAAAAATATTATTGAAATCAAAATGATATATAAGTAGAATAATGTCAAAAAAAATTCAAGAGGATGAAAAAAAGGCTGGTCATATTATTGGGCCAGGTGGCTGCAGTTTGCAGCTTTCTGGCTGAGGATTGGAGCCAGATTCTTTGCTGCATGGGCGTTTTCAGTCCACTTTTGGCTGTTTCCAGTCCTACTCCTCTGGTCCTTTCTGGTGATTTTATGCAATTTCCAGTAACAAGAAAGGGGTCTTTCCTAATGAAGGCATGTTGGTGTTAGTTGTGTAATTAACGTTAGGGTGAGGGTTAGATTTGAAAGGAAAAAGATAAGGATAACTTGGACAGTTTAAACAATTCCAGTTAATTTTTAAGTTCCTAGACAGTGTGTCGGGTAAGGTAAGACTCCTTAACGTACTGTGCATCTTACCAAACACAGCATAAGCGAATCTGCTAAAGGTGCTCATGTTGCTTCTTAGTGGCTTTCTGTCATGTTGAATTTGCATATCTTCATCGACCTTTTTCTTGGGTATACTTAGCAAGTAATGTTTGGCAGGAATCGCTGAATTCAGAGGGCTGCAAACTGGGGAATATGCCATTCGCTTAAGGTTGCCATACCAGCTCATGAAAGATAATGGAACAAAGACAGTATCTCCTTACTTTTCTAGATCCTTTGCATCAAGAACTTCAAGACAGTCAAGACAGACACAATCTGAGGTTCTTATTCTTTTTCTGTTATAACGGTATCTATGCAAAAGCTATGCTAAACATAACTTTTTAAGTTTCAAAATTCTGAGGCGTGACCCATGGACCGGATTTTAATTTTTTAATGTGTAATGAAAAAAAAGAATGAAGGTTAAGCATGTTTCCACTGGATGAGTAGTACTAATTTTGAGGACCTTAAAAGAAGTTCTATTTTGAAATGAATTCAAACTGAATTTTTATCTAAAAGCAGTATATTATTATAGACCAACTCATCTCGTTTCATTTAATTTGGGAAGTGAAATACTGCTGAAGGATGGTTGGATATATTCTGTACTTTTTTAAATAAAAATGAGTATTTTTCTGGGTATTATTTTGCAGGAGTAAAAATTCATTTATTATTTGTTTGCTGAAATATTATTTTGTGCTTTGATATAGTGAAACCTCATCCCTATGTTTTGTCCATTTTCATGAGTGCTCAAGTTATAAAAATTCAGCTGCAGTGATTTATGTTGTATACTGCTTTACAGACTAAAAAGCAAGTAGCTAACATTGAAGATCCCTTTGATTCTCCTACATATCATATCCCTGAGAAGCCAGTTACATTTACTGAAGGAGCATCCTATAGTGTTATAATCCTAGCAGGGCTTGGCCTTGCTGCTGCTGCAGGATATGCTGTGTTCAAGGAACTCATATTTGAACCAAAAGAGTAAGAGCTAAAGTCTTTGGTTCTTATCTAATCTGTTTAGTATTTTGATTTGAGTCTAACAACATTTCTCAATTCCTTCCCTATTTAAAATGTGTTCTCTTGTAGGTATAGGATCTTCAACAAGGCCTTAAAAAGAATTCAAGATGATAGTCAGGTTTGTGAAATTAGTAAATGTCCTTGGTGAACCAGGATATCAGTAGCTGCTAACTGCTTGTTTAATTTTTTCTACCAATTGTCATGTTGGTTGAATCTAAGCTATGATATCAGAAGCCTCAGAGTCATGAAGCACGGAGGCTTCTATCTGGAGTTTAAGCCTCCGTTTTATCATGGTAGAAACTAAAAATGATAAGAAACTAAAAGGATAGAATAACATCTCATTTCATATCAATAGAACATGGTGATGTTTTACCTATTGTAGAAGGAAGCATGATTGGCTTTACGCTCTTGAATCAAGCAAAGGTAATCCACTTAAGGAAATTTGAGATCTGTATACTCTTCAAAGGCCTTTCATATGCTTTCAGGAAACTGTAGTTGGTAAAGGATTTTGTGAAATGGACGACATGGTAACTAATAAATTGCTTAAAGGACATAGAATAAACCATTGCCCCCTTTTTGTTACCATAATCCATCTAGAGTATTATCATAAAAATATTATCATTAGCGTTTTCACATTACAGGTGGTATATTTTGCCTGCTATTCTGTGTAGATCAATGATTGCAATACATTTACATTCTGAATTGTAACTACAACTCATATATCCACTGTTTTTGTTTATATTACGATAGCAAATTTATTAGTTTCATTGGATGTGATTTGCGACAAACAGGTAAGGGTGAGGATTGGATCCCCCATTACAGGCTATGGTCAAGAAAGTAGAAATCGAGCTGCTCGCCAGCGTATTCCTAATAGGATATATACAGATGAAAATGGTGTGGAGCATGTTGAGGTAACTCCTTGCAACCGAATTGCTAAAGTCTGTGGTCTTTTTTATATAGTTGTGATGTTTAACTGTAACTGTTGGACAAATTCATATTCTGTGAATAATTTTCACATTCAGAAAGGGATTAAGCATTAGGGGCTTTGTTCATTATGAATAATATATGTTAACATTTATTGACTCGCTGATTATAGGTTAATTTCTATATTCGTGGGCCTAATGGAGCTGGGAAAGTTTTTGCGGAGATGTTCAAGGACAAAGAGGACAAGCAGTGGAAGTATACATATCTAATCGTGGAAATCATGGCGCCATCACCAAAACAATTGATTCTGGAGTCTTATTTGCCAGCATAAACCATCATTTATAAGTTAGTGCTCTGGATTACATTTGAGATGAACTTCCTGATCGTATAAAACCCAACTCGGAGTATATACTCCTGTCAAAAGTTCTAATTTTACAATAATGCTTTTCTTGAGTCCCAATTTTGATAGCGGGAAGCTGGCGGATTTTCAGTGGTTTTGGTTATGGACAGTTCATCATTTCGTTTTTGCAAGTGAAGTGATTCTAGGTTACATACAGGATTATTTTCATTTTTGTTAAAAGGGACAGCTTCTTATGCCAGCAACTCTGGTGAATAGCAAAACTTTATTTATTCAGTTGTATGGTTATTACTATTATCATAGGCGTCATCATTATTATTATTATTATTTGCTATATTAACTGCACTGCAAAATGTTTTCTGAAGGCATTCATCAATACATCTCCTTTTGGAATGTAAATTTTCAAATTGAATATTTTTACTTGGAACATGCAAATTATTTGGATTATATTCAAAATTTTGTAACTACTTAGATAGGACGAAGTACACATTTTACATGAGTTGACATAAATATAATTATCCCAAGTGGAAATGTAGAATCCATCCAGAAAAAAAGTACATCTTCGAAAATTTTCATCTCCCCTTTTTCTAAATTCTGGGGAGAAATAACTGAATGTAGCATAATTTTAATCACACGTTTAATTTTTTTAAACTACTACTTAAATGCTTATAAATAAGACTTTCTGGTCAATCAAACAATTCCTTTTGATTGAGAAAAAAGGGAGAGAGAGGATATTTTCTTTTTAACGTTAAACATTTCCGTTCCTCTCTTTTCCATCATACCTATTCAAACACTGAATGAATATTTGGTTCTTGTTCTTATTTCCCTGTTTCCCAAATAAAATATTTTGCCCTTGCTGCCTCTCCCTTCCCTACTATAAAATTCAACTGCACAGGGAAAACTCATATCAACCGGGGACAAAAATAAGTAAAAGGCATTGCAACTTCATCATTCTTGATGCCAAATAGGTGCAGTGATTCCAAAAAATTGAAACCTGGAACTTCCGCCTCTTGTCATAGATCATCTGTTTTTCTGCAAGAATGATATAAATTATAAACAGAAAACAAAGTTAAATTTGGGAACATAAATAGGATAATCTATCTCATCAAGTAAAAACCACAAGATGAAAAATACATTAGTCTTGAAGTAGTTACTTACTCATTTGGTGTCTTTTGCGGGATTCCAAGTCTAGTCCTTAAATTTGCACCCACTTCCATTACGTCTTCCACCTGTTATTCAACCCGATAAACACATACAAATCTCAACAATTTGAACGATTATGCCATGTGTGTACATATCACTACATGTGTACCTATAAAATGTACGCAGACAGAGTGAAAGAGAATAAGTGAAAGCATATGACCTTGTGGATACCAAAACCCTGAAGACAGGATATGCCTGCAGATGTGGAGGCGCCAACAAAGAGAGATGCAACAGCAAATGCCTTGAAGGGCATTAGATGAGAATCCCCAGCATAACCTTTTCGGTAGGAAGTAATCGCCCATCCCAACTGCACAGCACTTGCTACTGCCCACCACCAATGCGTTCCAGCTTCCCCACCTGCACTCCCTACCTCCATTTCCACTCTACCAAGCAACACTAACCTGCTCGATTATTTTACCCCACTCCCCACCCCAAACAGAAGCTCTGCTATTTCAGTTGTCCTCTGATCCTCTTTAAGCGCTTTTAAGAAGGGGAAGTTTCAGGTTTCCTAGGCTATTCAGGGCAAAGAAAAGTCCTAATCAGATTCCATTACTCAAGTCTAATAAACTTGTAATAACATTTAAGTGTTATTGTATTTTCAATAAAACATCCTAGTGTTCCTGACTACCGACTGAACTGAGATTACACAGAAGCAAAGATAAACATATGATCTGCTGATATTTTGGTCTCAATTGACACGCTTGCGCTGCTTATTATGTTCTAATCTCAGTTAACAGGCCTACGCAGACATGTAAGGACAACGAATATATATAAGGAAAATAGCCATTATATAATGCATAAACAGAGTGTTCTTGATCATTTCATTTTATCCTTTGAAAATAGAAAAAGACCATCTTAACCTCCCAAAGAGCAACTCATTGCACGAAATTGACCTTCGACCCTAGGGTTCTCGGCCACTATCAGTTATCAAAACCATGTAACCTCAAATTTTTTGTACAAAAGGTCCATGGAGTACAATGGTACAATCTGAGGAGGGCCATGAAGCCCTTATTTGCTTGAAACCCTAATCCCGAAGGAAAATCAAACAATATTTTATCTACCATTAACCATAATGTCATATAAAAAGCACACTTCCTTTGATGAAGAAGAAGAAACTTACTTCCAGTACCTATCGAAGGCAAGAAACGGAAACAATCACTGAATACCAACGGGATGCAAAACGAAGACGGCGAAGTATTAGAGAGGTATTCGGTCAGATTACAGGATGGAGGAGAATTGCGGCAGTGATGGAGTGGGCTTCACTTCAAATTGAGATTGAGGCCCGTTGCTGATTAGGCTTAATTTCCTTTTCCAGTGACTTTCATCACAAAGAATGTTGACGTGGCAAAGCTTTAATGGACAAAAGAGTGGGTCGTACACAAAGGGAGTGGTAGCTGTCACACAGAATAATTTCTCGAAAATACAGCGAAAATCACTGTGGAAGATAGAATTTTCCAAAACTTCGCAGAGACGACTTACATCTCTCTCCTGATTTCATTCTCCTCCTCTCTGTTTGAGATAAGGGAATTCTCTCAGATATCGGGAGGGGGAAGAGAAAGAAAGAAAGTGAAATTCAAGAAGGGGAGAATCAGAAAGGGTGATACAAAATGGATCAAATACTCAACAAGGTGGGGTCTTATTGGATTGGCCAAAAGGCTAATAAGGAGATTGGCTCCGTCGGAGATGATATCAACGTACGTACTCTCCGTCTCTAATCTTTAATTGCCCCTACTCCTGGTCTGGTTAAATATTTCGCCTTCCACTTAGTCATGGAGTTCAGTTGGTAATTGATTTAGGTTTTTTGTTGGGACAACAAAAATATTATCTGAATTTGGCATTAAACATTTGTCGTGGAGTCCATGACCCTAATTCTTTGTTGCTATTCAATGTTTGAATGGATTTGTTCGGTTCAATGATTCTATGTCCATTTTTGCTTAATGAAAACGTGGTTGTGTTTAAAGTTTGTTAGTTGGAGTTGATGTTAGAAATTACTTGGATAATTCGTATGTTTGCCATGCCTGAAATGTGGTGTTGTCTTGTTTCTCAAAAAGACAAGGAAATAAAAGGGTGAAATTTATTATGTTATTGTGGTTGATGGTAATAAAAGGATCTATGGTAAAGCATTGTGGCTGATGGTGATAAAAGGATCTGTCAAAAGGCGTAGAGATTACTCTCAGAATCCAAAAGTTTGAGCTTCCTTATAACTCTATTCTTGTCCATCATGTTGATGACTGCCAGATCCTTTACATGGTTTAGTTGGAATCTTTCCTTGAGATGGTAATTAAGTATCTGATAATAAACGATGCTACTGTTGTAAATCTTGCTCTTACAATTTGTTTGAAGTGACCATTATGTCGTTTTAGATCACTGCAAAGTGTTTAGAAGGATTTTTATGGTGTTTCATACTTTTGAGCTTTTATGGTGGATGCCCAAATTCAGTCAGTTCTTATCTTTTACTTATTCATACCAGTGGTGAAATACAGTCAATGATTTTCTTTTCTGGCGTTTCTTACCTTTTTCTTCTTCCATTTTCTTCTCTGTTGCTAGTCATTGTCAACCAGCATTGAAGGAGGAGCCAAATGGTTGGTTAACAAAATAAAAGGCATGGCATTTTCCTTGCTTCATATTGTTCCATAACGTTTTTGTTTTCAATAACATAGCTTTCACATCACAGGAAAAATGCAGAAGGCATTACCGGAGCTTCTATCGGAGTATGGCTTGCCAGTAGGAATTTTCCCCCGTGATGCCACCAATTATGAGTTCAATGAAGAGACAGGAAAGCTTACTGTCTTCATTCCTTCCATATGCGAAGTTGGCTACAAGGACTCATCTGTCTTGCGCTTTTCTACTGCTGTAACTGGGTATCTGGAGAAAGGGAAGCTAGCTGATATTGAAGGTATGAAGACGAAGGTTGTGATTTGGGTGAAAGTGAGCTCTATATCTGCTGATGCATCAAAGGTCCATTTTTCAGCTGGGATGAAGAGAAGCAGGAGCAGAGATGCTTATGAGGTTCTTCGGGATGGTGTAAGTGTGGATAAGTTCTAGTCTTGCTAGTATGGTCTTCTAATATGTCTTATATGTTTGTTTTGTGGTAAAAATTCTGTCCTGCCATATGGACTTTCTCACCTGCATCCAATGTTCATAATTGTATAATGCTTACCGCTTGAGTTTACTTTACTTTTTTTTTTTTGATTGTGCTGGTAAGTTGAATCATCCCATAATATTTTATCCTAGTTAGTGTGGTTTTCTCCAACTATCTGTGTCATTGAGAATATATATACTTAATACTTTCCCACTAAAAATCAAGTTTTGTGCTTTATTAATGTTTTTTTAGTAACAATAATAAGTGGGCTAGTGAATACAAGTAAAGCCAATATAGATATGGTATATTATTGAGGGTTGAATGGAGAGAGATGATGATTAGAATGGAGAGTGGTGTTGAAAGAAAATTTTGGCTGCTTCATAAGTAGACCAGCAGATTGCAGCGGCAGGGGCATGGAACAGCATCCTTGGAATCCATCCTCGCATCAGCGCACCATATCCATCTTTCTTCACTATACTCCCAATTACGGTCCCAATTGAACTGCTCGAATATCTATCACATCCACACACACCCTGCATTCATCCAAACACTCACCCATGTTGAATTAGATAATACCAAAAACCCAAATATCATCAACCAGTGAATTGCAAGAAGACAAGAATCAACTAAATCTACTCTCTACCCCCCCTAATTCACCTGCTTTTATATATAATAAGTACACCACACCACATCATGAAATCGATTAGAAGCAACTTCCTTTATCACCCACAACCGAATCTCATAAAAATAGACTATCAAAAAACCGTATTGGATCATCTCACCTGACACTGCAGCTGGGTTTTCACTACATCAAGCGGTGTAGTCACAGCAGCAGCAAGAGCCCCGGCAGCCGCACCTGCGGTGGCATGAACCACTAACCTCTCGTCATCCGCGCTCTCCGGAGAAACCTCCATCAGCGCCCTCTTTGCCGCCTCGTAAGTCGCGAAGTGCACGGCCGTAAACGGCGCATTCATCACCACCGTAGTCCTATACGACGCGTAGAACGCCCCGAAACCTTCCTCCACCAATACCCTCCTAACGCAGTCTCCTACCCCCTTGTACGGGCTGCTCTTCAGCTGCAGCCTTTGCTTCACAACGTCCATCGGCGTGATCACCGCGTCACTCATCACCGTCGCGCACACTCCCGAAACTGCATGAGCCACCGGGTTGTTAGGGTCTCCCTCTGAAAGTAACCGCTTGCAAAACTCGTAAACTGAGAAGTAAACAGCGTGCGCCGGTCCCGCTCCCAGACCCATGGCTGCAATGCCGCGATAGAGACCTGCGGGTCCTTCGACCTTCAGAATCGACCCGAAAGCTTGTCGGAGTCCAACGGGCTGAACCTGGTATGACCCGCCCAGAGCCTGCATGCGGGTCTTGAGTGTGTCGACTGGAAACATGGCGATGTGCTCCACGGACCCAGCGATTGACCCCGCAACCATGAACTGCCACAAATGGAGCCCGTCATGGGTTGTAGTCCTTGTTTGTGTTTGGGGCGATACCGGAAATTCGGTTTGAAACTCGTGGGATGACGACACTGGCCGATATTTTGGGGAGGAGTCAGTGGCCATAACGGGGGTGATGGGAGCGGAAAGGTGGTGCTGGTGTTGAGTTTTAAAAGGTGGAGAGTATGATTGAGGATTAAGTATCGCTTTCGGGGTTGAAGACGATTGTGTTGTCGCCATGCCCAAAATTTCATTTTCATTTTTTTTTTTTTTTTTGCGAAAAAAGAATTGTTTTGGGATGATTTTTAGGAGCCCATGCGTGGCGAGGGAAATGGAAAGAGACTAAATTACGAGCTTTCTTTTCTTCCTGTTTTCACCAAAACGGAGAAAGAGAAAATGTGCAGAAGACTTTCAAATATTCCGATGTTTCCATTTTTGTGCCCAAGAACTTCACGAGGTTTATCTCGACGGGAGCAAAAGTTCTTTTCTTGTAAGAGGGAGCAAAGCATTTGAATTAGATATTTTTGGTAAGACAATATAAGTAAATTGATTTTTTTTTCGTGTGTTTGATTTTTTAATTGATTTTAAAATTTTTGTTTTAGTATCAATGTATATATGCATAATTATAGTATCATTTGTTTCGTACGAGTTATAATTACTTTTTCCTTGAATTTTTTGATTATCTTACAAATTTAATGTACATAGATTTAAAATACAAAATTTTAAAAGATATAATAATAACTTAAATATAATAACTGAAATTAATATAAGATCAACTAAAATCTATAAATTAGGAATTGGATAAAAGTTTAAAAAATTAACCACAAACATGGTAAATAAAATTACTTGTATAACACCAGTGGATTGTACAACAAAGTTAAGAATGATATTTTGTCTATGAACTCGCTAAATCAATCTCTTTTGAACCTGATTTACTATTTTTTTTTGGAGTTAAAATACATACTCAGATCGGGTCAGTTCAATTGATGAAAAAAGGACGAATTTGGATTTAACATTCCAAAACTTGTTCAAATCCAACCCGCTATGTATATCTTTAATTTTATTATTATTATAAATAGATACAAAATGAGATTGGTCATTGAGTCCTCATGAGAATTATAGAATAAACTAATTTAAGGATGCCATGACATTGTCGATAGGTGATCGCTTTGAAATATAAGTTCTTATAAATGTCTCAAGCAACATTTTTTCTAGCCAAGCATGGAGGAAAATGTCATGGAATGGTTGCTTTGCTAAATGTGTAAGAGAGAAAAAGTTCCACAACTCGGTCTCTTATAACTACTTCCTCTTCCAAACAGACATGATCTTATATCTCCATTGACTTTATTAAATAACTTCCAAAATATGGGAATAAAGATACAATCATGGTGGCAGTTGACCCACTTACTAAATATGATCACTTTATAACACTTAAGCATCCATTCACAATTATCAAGGTAGTTTAACTATTCATTGACAACCTCTATAAACTTTATGGTACTCCTAAGGTGATAGTCTATGATTGTGAAAAAAATTTCACCAGTCTATTTTGGAAGAAACTCGTGAGTTTAATTGGGATGAGATTATATTATTGATCTTTTTACCATCTTCAAACGGATGGACAAATATAAGTAGTGAACCATAGAAGGATATCTCTAGTTATGGCTCACAAAAACGTGAAGTCATGGTTCAATGGATCAGTTTAGCATAATGGTGGTACAACACACTTACCATTCTGGTATTAAAATAACACTTTTCTCAGGCGTTATATGTTTACCATCCACCTCATTTCATGGATACCATTGAAATAGAAACACCTTCAATAGAATTAGAAACCATTTTAGCAGAGAAACATAAAATGAATAGGGTAAACAACAATAGCTAGATATCCAAAATAGAATGAAATAATTTGTGGATACACACTAATTGAAAAGACAATTTGAGGATGACAATTTAATATTTTTCAAATTATAGTCCTACAAACAAGTGTCACTAGAAAGAAAAAAAATTAGAAGTTAACACTAAGATTATATGAATCCTATAAAATTAAGAAAATGATCAGTGCAGTAACTTACAAACTCCAGCTACTAGCTTAAACTAAGATACGTCTAGTCCTTCACATATCTTCGCTAAAAAAAATATAAGTATAAACAATAAAGGTATACTGAAGATTTACCTTAACTTGGTCAATTAAGAGGGAGAAGAAATGGTGGAGCCCGAGGAAATATCGCAAACACAGATAACCAATAGCAACAGAAAGTACGAGCAATAGTTGACTAAATATAGGAGAATTATCGATAGAACCTAGGAAGATGTACAACATTTGATATACCAATTTCATGATTTAAACCTTAACTTGAATATTCCTTCCATAGGGAGAAAATTATGAGGAAACGATTTTATGGAGAGTAAAATGAGACTAAAAGTAGGAAACCTGAATGAGCTCATGAAAGAATAAAATGGAGAGTAGGGAACCAAGACTAATGGTGGTTTATAAGCAGAGACTAGCTGATAACACGTGATGTAATTTGGAGTAGAAGATGGCATGTATCGACAATCGACTGAGGCAGAAAGTGAGTGGGATGCATGTCATTAATCGGTGAACGTTGGGGTCACATGGCGCATATCCAAGAGAGGTATTTAAAGGGGAATCAGGATTAAATGAGGCGAATTAAAGCTACAAGTCATTTGGGGTGTTGTGCAGCTAGTGTTCTTATTCCTGTTGCTCTATTTTCGGAGGGATTTTAGAGATTATTCATGACGATCCTAATTTCTTTAGGGTTTAAGTGCTTTGTATTCATTAATCTAAACATGTTAAGTCTAAATATCAAACACTTTTCTTTTAATTCTAAGTCTTCTCAAAGTCATTCTTTACTCTATTTTTTTCCTTTTCGATCTAACCATTTTTTTTTCTCATTCCTATTTCACGATCATCAGGAACATGTCAAAAATACATGATAACTTAAAAGACTATTGCTCAATATGGCTTTGCCTAAGTATTGTTTTAATTAAAAAAATATTTTCAAGTTTGTGATATTTTACTACAAAGAACTTGGCTTCTTATTTATAATGTATGATTGACAAAATATTCATGTAAGTCATGGTCTTTGACATAAAACTTTTATCATAATTACACGTTTGATTTTTGTTTAAGAGAATTTTCTCATTAAATTTTCACTAATGTAAATTTTAGTTCAATTCAAACTTATGATATAAACTTATAATAAAAATGGGAAAATTATACCAATTGACTTCTCATTCGAACAAAAATTATGTATTAATTTTGTATTAAGTTGCAAAATTAATATTGCCCTTACTTAAAATTAAACTTAATTTTCAATTCTTAAATTGTAATTTTTTGTATTTGGTATTGAATTAATGAAAATGGGATGTTAATTCCCTTAGCTCAATGCTAGCAATGAATAAAAACGTGAGTACAAATCACAATTTATGTATTTGCTTATTAAGAGTGTAAATTTTTACAATTTTAATTGTCCAAAATTCTTTTCAAATGTTTTGTAATTTGAAATCTTTTATAAAAAGAAATTTGTGATCCAACAAACATATTTAGAAGTTGGTGAGAAAAATGTTAATAATTTAGAATTAATTTTTCCCGCTTGATATTGCTAACCTTCAAAACAACATATTATTGTCATTGAAAAAAATTACTTTTGTAATGATCCGGAATTTAAAAGAAAATAAAGTTATGAATTAAATACGCAAGCAAAACAATAGAATTTAGGGTTTACACTCCTTATACAATAATTTAAAACGTCCAATAGGGTTACGAGAATATTTATTCTAAAAAAAATTTCAAAAATAAAGGAAATATACAAAAAAGTCAATAACTGAGTATTATATGATAACATTCACTAGCTTTTAAAGGGAGTCTAGGTAGAAAACTATTCACAACCCTCTTATTGATCGGGATCTAGGTCTTAGTCCTTTTTATCTGAATATAACACTAGCTCAATAAGAATATAATACTACTCACTGATACAAAAACTGAAAGTTGATAAAAATAATAAAAATAACCAATGGAGCTATTGATTTAAGTAAATTCATTTATCATAAGGAAAATAATTTATTGCATATATTTACCATTGAGAGATTTTCAAAATCGACCTGTAGAGATAATAACCAAAATAACATTGCATTCTCATATTCAAGCGAGTAAAAACAATAACTTTCCCTTTTTATTTGTCTACTAGTATCCCTAGGGGCCCATAGAGATGTCTCACTACGCGTGAACTAATATTCAATATTGTCAACTAACCGGCCGTTCCTGTACCCTGTCCAACATGAGTGCTAAAAAAAATCATCCTTCAATACCCCATCCGGTATGAGCACTAAAAATATCAATACTTGATACCCCGTCCGATATGAGGCAATGTTCACAGTAGGGTTCCTTATGTATCCGGTCCATCTATCATCTCCCAGGATATCCAGTAAGGTTACCATTCATTAATTCACATGATCAATTAATTTTTCGTTTGCATATTAATTACTAATTTTATAAATCAACCGTAAATCACGTAAGACAAGCAATATATATATCAAGGAAGCACAATTGAATCAATTAACTATTACAGTATATCATCATGTATTTAAAATTGTAAATTCAATCATCAGTTAAACAGGACAACAAATAAATAACTAACCGGTTTCCGACTCCATTGGTAACTTGTAATTATTCTCAAAATTTTTTAAATTACACAAAATACCATATTACCGAATATTACGCTTCAATTCCATAATAGAGAATAAGGTGAGAGATTCTTACTCGAATTGGTATTCGAAACACCGATCTTTTAGTTGCGCCTACTGACGGTCCCCGGGTTTCCTGAATTTTCATGCAGAGATTAAAACACACTTCACATACCTAAAAATACCTTAAAAAAACTCAAAATCGGCGTTAAAAATCTTTTTCGGCCAATTTCAGAATTTTGGCACGGCAGCACCGCCGTGCTCCGACGACGGCACCACCGTCCACAGCGGTAGTTTGCCTTAACCTGGCCATTTTTTGCTAGTTTTAGCCAGTTTCTACCGGTTTTATACCTATCTCTGCTAGAAAACACGTTAAAGGGACTCGATTAGCCAAAAAAGTCAAAAAATAAAAACTTACCGGCGGTGAAATTTTTCGATGCGGTGGCTCTGCCGGTTCACCTTTGCGGTTGGACTTTTTTTTCAGTCAACTTGTAGAAAACAGAACAGTGAACACAATGGTAGAAAAATCGTACGAAATGAGAAACGGG